TTTTGTAACAAGTATCTTTAAGAATTGTATGTAATATTTTGTAATTACTTGTTAGTGAGGTATAGAAATGCTGTTTCTTTGGTGTGTCTTTGCTTAGGGAAACTCATTGAGCTGTCCTTCTACTTTTAGTTTTAGGTTATAGATTTTTATATTCTAATCAAATGTTTTTTCCTCTCTTTTCTGTCAATCTCTCCCTCCTTTTTTCTAAATTTATTTATTTATTTTTTTAAGACAGATTTCTGCTTTGTAGCTCAGGCTGGCCTTGAACTCACTATGTAGCCCAGGTTTACCTCAAACTCACAATGATCTTCGTGCCTCAGACTCTTGAGTGCTACAAGCCATCTCTATTTTTAGCAAAAAAATGTTAAAATTCGAATTTATAGCATAAAGTATGAGGTATGTGAAAAGATTTTGGTGAATGCTGCTGCTGAGTGCCATCCATTCATGGGGAACCTGGAAAGTCTTGTGTGTTGCTGCTGGTGTCAGAGTATCAGAGGAAGCAAATTCCTGACTTTTGCTTTGTGATCCAGAAGGCGCTTAGTTGCTGGAATAACCTGTGTGAAGACCTTAGTCCTCTTTGGAGTATGGAGAGTGCATTGACTTTAAAATTCCACTCTAGGTTCTAGGGAGGGATGCGGAAGCCAGGAGCCAAAATGCCCTCAACTGTGCCAGGCACAGTTGCTGGGTTGGGTGATGGGACACATGGAGAATGCCATGGCTGAGCCCCTCTGTACTTCCAGACTCTCGTGGGTTACTCCATGTCCTTGTTTGCCGAACATAGCCAGAGGGACCGTGGCATGAATCCACCCCATTCACAGCACCCAGGAATATGATAGGACAGTTTGCATATAATGACCTGCTCTTGTCTTTTCCACTGCATGTGGAACACCACAAGAAAACTGATGTCTGTCAGCTTTGCCCGCCAGTTCTTAGCATGGTGTTTGGCTATATTAGACATTTAGTGACTATTTATGAATCCACAAATAATGAGTTGGTGTTAATAGTTATTTCCTGTTTGTGAATGAATTTAAATCTATCTGCCTGAGTTAATTTTTATGATAAATTACATGTCACTCAAATTTATCTACTTAGTAGTTTATAGACTATATTATTTTATTTTTTATTTTTATTTTTGGTATTGGGAATCAGCTCAGGACCTTATGCTGGCCAGGCAGGTGCAGTGCTGCTGAGCTACATTCCTGGCCAGAGACTATTTTAGTAGAATACAGTAGATATACTCACTGGTGTGCCAGCTCTCTATTAGGTAAATTTTTATTTGTAGTGTTTTCCAGAGTCTGTAGTGAGGATAGCCTGACTATCGTCATCCCAGCTGATTTCAGGGTGTCCCACATTACACTGTGGAATGTGGCATTGGGTGGAATTGTGCACTGACCATTCCTGAAGGGCGTTACTGTCCCCATTATAGGAAGGCATACTCCTGAAACACAAGCATTGTGTTAGTGATACACATCTAACAGAGCGTGCGCTTTAAAAAGATTCATTAGTTAAAGTCCTGACATCATCTGTAAAAGATAAAGTCCTATCTTTCTGGCTCATTGTAAGTGTATCTCTCACCTCTGTGACATCTATGTTGCTATGGCTGACTAGTGGAGGGCTCTTGGCCAAGCCTCACGCAGGCCTCCGTGCTCTTTTCTGTGGCTTCTTGCTTGCTAAGGCCCTGAACACACTGATGGGGTGGGAGAAATTTTATAGGACATGGGGGAGGGATGGGGCATTCCACTTCCAATCCTCTGGCTGGAATAGATCACATGGCCATGCCCATGGCTGAGTACCCTGGAAGTTGCCAAGTACAGTTTCTAACAGGAAAACAGTCTGAGCTTGTTGAATATCTAACCAGAATTGTAAACAGTTTTCAGTGATAGAGTTGCACAGATACATTTACACTCTTTCACCTTATTCTCTAACAAATGCCTTTATTTATTTGTTTGTTTTGTGGTACCAGGGATTGAACTCAGGACCCTATGCTTGCCAGGTAGGCACGTATGCCGCTGAGCTATCTCCTTAGCTCAGTAAATACATTGATAAATGAGTTGGTAATAGTTTGGAGTGGAGTCTGGTAGATTCTTTTTCTGTGTTTTTAAAAAGATATTCACGTTTTTTATCTTCTTCCATCCCACTCAGAATGTTTGTGGAATGGCACCATGTGATAAATTTGGCCATTAGAGCCCCTATCTCTTAATGGTGCACAAAAGAAAGGTTTCTTGGGCTGGGGAGGTAGCTCAGTGGTCTAACTGCCTACCTAACAAGCACAAGGACCCAAGTTTGAGCCCCTGTACTGCATGCCATGCTGGTCCTGGGTGTGGCAGCACACGCCTGTAATCCTAGCACTAAGGGAGGCTGAGGCAGGAGGATCACTACAGGTCTAAACTGCATAGTGAGACCCTGTACCAAATAAATAAAAAGAAAAGAAAAGAAATATACTTTGCATGTTAGAATATGAAGACACTAGGGGTTGGCAGTTTAGGACAAAACAAACAATCTACTCAGAAAAAGGGTGCTCAATGTGAATAGTCCAGAAAGTTTGTGAAGCATATTAACAAACAGAGTCTTTAATAGGACTCAAACATCATTTTTCATACTTGACATTTATATTACTATACATTGGATATTTATAGATAAGGAAAATGCAGCCCATAGTGCTCCCGAGCCTTTTCTCATTTTGGGTCACACAGAAATGATACTATTTGTATGACGAGCACTTCACTCTGTCAACTGAGCAGATTGCTCATGGACTTGTTTGGCCTTACCCAGCCACTCTGAGGAGCACATCTGTAACCCATTCAACATACTGAGCTGAGAATCTGCCATGCAACAGTGGTTCTCAAATGAAAACATTGGTGTTCTTCACAAGCTTAAGTGTCACATGACTTCTCTTATATGAGAAGCCCAAAATGACAATAAAGAGCAGAACAGGAAAGATTTACATAGATCTTTTGCATATGGGAATGGGGACCAAGAGATTGAGGGGTGAGGGGAAAGGGATCAGAGGTAAAGTTCAGTTGCATGGTGTGCGTGTATCAGCTCCCCATAGGAGCATGATCATTAGGTGCTACAGATGGGTACTGACAGGACGTTCTTGTGTTCTATGCTTTATAGGGTTTTGTCATGGCTAATAAAAGGTACAGTTCTTGGCCTTTGTAGCTTAAAATTTACTTGGAGAAAAAAAGGTATGTATAATTTAACAACAAAAAATAAAAAAAATTAAGTACATGTTATATATGAACTATACAAACAATAGGAACTAAGATAATGGAAAATTAAGCAAGCATACGTGATACTTTATAAAAT